ATTTTTGGCAGTTGACAAACTTGAAAAATTGCTGATTTTTGATGAAATTCTTTAGTTAACCAATGAGCTGTTAAGCTAAGAAATGAGCATTTTCCATTGGTAGATGTTCATCCATCAGTTTTAAATGAAATGTATCTTTGAGATGTCTTCTACTATAGAAAAAGGTTAAATATCATCTGCAATCATTTCTGCAATATATTTATTAATTAATTTAGACCTGGGCTTTTTTCTCTCAAGTGTTTCAAACAAAGTTTGTTGAGACTGTTTTGAGCAACTTGCATCAGTTGACTTGATTTTCTTGAACATATTTTGTTCACTTTCTGCTCTCCTTTTGTTTTCTTCTTCATTAAGTTTCAACTCTTTGCTTACTATTTCTTTATGTTTTGAACTAATCTGAGACAACATATTTGTTGTGTTAAAAGACTTTAATTTTTTTCTTTGTTACCTCTTGTAATTTTCAGTTTGCTTGTGCTACGATATGCAATTGAAGCATCTTCAGGAGAAATAGTAAAATATTTCCACACCCAACTGCATGATTTTATTGGAATACCTTTTTCAAACAAAACTGGTTCCATTCTGAATATATATTTAATTCTGCAACTTTATTAACTTTTCAGTTATAAAGTTCAGATATCTAAATAACAATCATATAGAAATATAGAAAGCAATACTGGAATACGTATAGATAAAAATGCTTAAATAGGTTACTTTGAAGTGTAACAATAAAACAATATAAAATAAAATAATTCTAAAAACAACATTATAGTAATAAAAATATAAATACATTAAGCTTATAAGCATCATTTTAAGAATAAGCAAATTTGCCTGTAAACAAAGTTAAAATAAACAATTTTTCAATAAATTTTTAAGTAATGCATAAAGTTTGGATTATTTATTATTTAACTATTATTATAATGCAGGATAAAAATACGAAAATGCTATCGGTAATGCAAATCAGTATATGTATATATTGTGTTAATAAATGGTCATAGCATAAACATACAATAGCTTATGTATTGTAGGTATTTTTTGTACCCAAAAATGCTTATGTATTATTATTTTTTTTGTACCCAAAAATGTTCCCCTTTGACTCAAGTCAAGCTTGTTCTCACAGTTGAAAAATGTTTCCACAGGCAGCGGAAACATTTTAGAGATTATTTTGAAACTATTTGAAATAATCTCTGTAATGAAATTATTTCTGAAATATTTTAAGTGAATTTTTTCTGAAATGCTCTTACCAATATCAGTTGAAATAAAAAATTATATATATTGGTTTATATATATATATATATATATATATATATATATATATATATATATATATATATATATATATATATATATATATATATATATATATATATATATATATATATATATATATATATATATATATACAGGGTGGCCAGTTAAAAATAAACTTAAAATTCCAGGATATTTCCAGGATTTTCAAGCATAATTTTGGATTATTCAAGGATTTATTTTCTCGACAATTAAATAACTAGTAAAAGCAAAATATACTTTCTTAGAACAAAATAACTAAATATATATAAATATATTTAAATACATAAGTATGTTTTGATATAAACTATTTTATTTCATATTTTTTTTAGATTGCTCAAGTTTTTTTAATGAAAGGTCAATGTCTTGAATTGCTTGTTCTTTTTCTAAAATTGTGCTTCTAAAAGAATTTGCTTTTGCAAGAACAGTAAAGTCTCTCTTTGCTTCTGCTTCGATGCTTAACTTATCAGCATCAGATTTAAGAATTTTAATGCACTTTGCAACACTTTCTTTTTGTTTTTTCATTACTAAAATATCTCCATCAATCAATTAGCGTTTCCTGCATAATTCATCTACCTTTAATTGATCTTTGTTTTCTTTCAATACTATATTGTAACGATTGTATGCTAACTTACAACTTTTTAAAAGGTCACAGGGAGCTCATACTGATGTATGACAATGTCATGAGAATTAATGTGGTCATAAACTATTCTTTGAGAAATAAGAGATCTCTCTAGCAGATTTTCAACCAACAATTGTTTATTAACTCTGAGCCCTCGTTCTATTGCACATTGGCCGTGAGATAACACAAAAACGATAACACAGACTTTCTACAGTGCTGAATACTTCGGAATTTTATGCAAATAAACAGCAAAAAATTTATCAACAGAATCAGTTAACTCGTTGAAGGAATTAATTTTTTCGTTAAATTGAGCACATTCTGCACTAACAAATTCATCATATTGTTGTTTTGCATCATCTGCATTGTCAGATGATAACCATTTTAATGCACTTAATCTTTCAGCAAGAGCCTTGAATTTAAGAAAGGATATTTCCTTGTTTTTAACCATTTCAGTTGGAGACAAAGATGAAGCATTCCTCACTAAAGAATATTTCAAGGAGGATCTTTCTTGTAATTTTTGCAATAACGCTACAATAATCTGCTTACATTCTATTATAAATTCTAATTTCTCTTCTGGTTTACAATGAAGAGAACTTAGCATCTGTTTTAGTGCTGTTCCGATACCAATTTTGTTTGCATCTAGTTGGTTATTGGATTTACCTACTTCTATCTTTGTTAAACTATATGCAGTTGCAGCTTCTTTTAAAATGATTGGTTTGAGAATCATTTTCATTAAACTTCGAAATATACTTTCTAAACTATTAGATAAAAATGCAACCATAGGTCTGTCTGTTTGAAATAGCACAAGAAATCCTTTCAATTTTTTAGCCAGATCTTTGAAAAACTGCATACACAAAGGTACAAACTTGTGTAGATAATGATCTACCAGAACCTCGTAGCTCTAATTTTTAGGACGGTTGCTTTTGCATAATGATTCCCAATACTTTATAATTTTAACCATGTTTGGCCATACGACAATGCCTCTAGAAGCCACACCTTCATCATCTCAGCGAGTTGCACAGAAAAACAATAAAATCCAAAAATTTAAAGGCTGAAATGCTCTTAACTTATATATAAATAAAAAAAGATTATAATAAATTATAATAAATTTTTTTCTTCTTAAACATGCATACTTACGGTAAAGCAAGCAGATCTGTTTCACAAACTCTAATATATTCATCTATTTTAGCTGGTGACTATTTGAAAAGATTATACATTGCACGAAATATTTTTTCCAACTCCCACTTTTGGGAGTTTATTGCTGTCTGTAGGGCACCATGAACAATATGCAAGCTGCAACTGCCCATATTAACAATGTCAGAATATTGTTTTTCTTGTCTATGCTCATTTAAAATTTTAAGAACCTCCTAATTAACATTAGGACCATCCATTGAAACTTGAATAAGTTTTCCAAGATCAAACATCGCTGTTGCTTCAATGAGTTTGTCAAATAAATTCTGTGCATTAGGGCGTCTGAGGAATTTTGAATCAATATATCTAACTTTTACAACACCTGAATTAGAATCCCAGTATCTAACTCCAGAGTCCATTTGTTCATTTTTAAAGGTTACATTCATACTCTATCATATGACAAAACAAAGATTGGCGATGCTCTGACTTCAGATATAAGTTGGTCTCGATAGTATGGCGCCAAACCAAAATTAATGAGGTAACCACATTTTGTTTTGCCTAATGCAAACTATGATGCAATTTTACTCTCAGAAAACATAAATTTGAATATTTCATTTAAATTTAAGCATGATCTTAAAGAAAAATGTGACATTACAACATTTAAGGTCCATATTATTTCTGCCTTAGTAACCAAAGCTGGAGATTGAAGATCCTCTATAGTAGGCTGTGTAACTTTGTCATTTAAAACTTTGTTTGAATGAGGAGAAAGTTCTTGAAAATTACTGGAAGCTGCTTTATCACCAGATATTTCTGTAGTAAAATCTAAAAGTGAAACATGAAAATATATATCCTGTAAAGTGCGCAGCTAATCAACTTGCTCCAAACTTTTCAAAATTAAAAAACTAAATTAATTAAATATAATATAATTCTTTATAATATATTTAAATATAAATATAAATAACTAAAAAATAACCTGTAAAAAATATATCAGCTGCATTATGTGTCCTTGCATGCTCTTTATGCTTCTTACCAGCTGCATGTGAATCTAACGCAGATACTCCCATGTTAGAAATATTAATATCTGTTCGACACCAATTACATCTTGCTTTCTTTGAATTTAAAGAACCAAGAAGAATACTTTTTATTGTATAGCCATTCTGTTTGGAAACAGCAGTTCTTTGTTTTAGGCATTATATTAGTGATATATATATATCACTATATATATATATATATATATATATATATATATATATATATATTATATATATATATATATATATATATATATATATATATATATATATATATATATATATATATATATATATATATATATATATATATATATATATATATATATATATATTAATTGTGTGTTATATTTTCTAAATAATTAGTAGATATTATTAAGATATTATTACCATGGAGAAAGAAACATTATTTAAAATAATTATATATTTTTTTTGAATATTCTAGAAAATGCATAATCGAAAATAAAAAGATAAAAACATCAAAACGAAATATTGAAATCTTTCAAAAAAAGTTCCAGGATTTCAAGGATTTTTTGTAAAAAAGAGTGTTTTTCCAGGATTTTTCCAGGACCTTTAAAATTCCAGGACTTTTCCAGGATTTCCAGGATTTCAAGGACCGCTGGCCACCCTGTGATATTTATATATATATATATATATATATATATATATATATATATATATATATATATATATATATATATATATATATATATATATATATATATATATATATATATATATATATGTATATATATATATATATATGTATATATATATATATATATATATATATATATATATATATATATATATTTATATATATATACATATATTATATATATATATATATATATATATATATATATATATATATATATATATATATATATATATATATATATATATATATATATAAACAATTTTAAAAAAATTACCCTATCTCTTTATACTCCATGGCAAAAGAACGAACAGTTCTAATATTGCCAATTGCTTCATCAGCTACACCCATAGCACGAGAAACCTGCTCTTGTGCATGATTTGAAATTTGACGCAATAAAGATCCCATGCCTGTACCAATTAAGATGATTCCAGGAAGAAGTAACACCATTAAAGAAGTTAGTTTAGGAGAGATTGTATACAACGTAATGCTGCAACCAAGAATCTGAGTCAAACTGCGCAAACCTTGTGAAACAACTTGTTTAAAAGAACTTTTAAAATCTTGAATATCAGTAGTCAATCTAAAAAAATGTAAATAAAAATTATTTGCTAAAACATTGCAGAAGCTTGGCTTACAATATCAACTAGGCAAAAACTGATCAAGAGTGTCTGCTTAGTGATGTTGAATTAACTATAGAAAAATACTGTTAGTATACAATTTATTTAGCCACATTAAAAATAAAAACATTTAAAATAAAATTTTTAACATGCTAAATAATATTTAAAAATACCTGTTCATTATTTCTCCTGTTTTATGTTTGTCAAAAAAACTCATGTCTTGCTCCATCAACCTTGTAAATAAACATATTCTCATTCGTGAGGCTAATCGCTCACCAAATGAAGACAATAGAGTTAAATAAGTTGCCGTAAAAATTGATTGCAGTATATAGTTTATAACTAGTTTTTTACAAGGAGTGTAGAGTTCATTAAAAATGTTAATTGAGGTTGGGCTTTCTTTTAATATCTCAGAAATGAAATTGATTAATCCTCCAAGTAATAATGGGGTCTGTATATTAACCAATGCAACAGCAAATGCACCAAATACAGAAAACATAAACAAAACCCAGTCAGGTTTAATTAATTCAATAAAAAGTTTCCATCTGAAAGTTGGCTTAAATGAAGTGATCAATTTAGAATTTAAGTCAGGAGAAATACGACTTTTTTTATGTGAAACATAAAGTTTTTCACAGTTTGCTGACTTAAATAAAAAACCTCTAAATGCTGGATAAACAAAAAATAAACTACCATATCGAATTTTTGAAGCTTGAAAATATTTCAGACCAGCTGAATGATTAAACCTATAAATAAACAACACAGATGACATATAGTTAAACTATTTTAAAAACTTTACATAACAAATCTTCAATTTAAACAAATTATTTAGAAAACATATTTATTTCAAAAAGCTCAACTGTTAAAAACAAATAACTATTACTTTTAATTTTTTAATTATTATTTTTAATTACTTAGAATAGTTCAAAGGCAAGTTGGGCTATACAATTCTATATACAATGGTTAAATCTAAAGTCTTGAAGTTCTAGTAATATTAAGAAACCTACTTAAAAGAAAAGTCTTGAAACCTTTTATTATTTTAGCCTAGATTCCTTATATAAAATAATAACTCAGGATAACAGGGTTCAAATACAAAAGATATAACATCTTCGAACTCCTGTTTTTTTTTTTTCTATGAAGTTAATAAGTTTCATGTTTATACTACTAAAAGGATGCTTAAAGTATCAAAAGAATGTAACATTTATAGTGTACAGTGGAGAGACAATTAATTGAGTATGATTCAATATTAAGATTTAATTTTATTATAATAACAATGTTTATATAATCTTATTATAATAACAATGATTATATAACCTCAATATAATAACAAAATAATACCAACATTTTAATACTAACAGCAACAAAAATCATCAATAATAACAACAATAACAGTACTAGAATAAGAAAACGCAATAAAAAAATAAACGTTTACAAGTTCAAGCCAAGCACAGGGATCAAGATGTCATACCATAGATTAAGATATTGATAAAAAATATAACACAACAAAAATTCCGTCGGAAATTAATAAAATAGATAAGAATTAAATAAATTTTTTTAATGACTTTCCAATGGAAAATGATTAGAAAGTGTAGGGAAGTAATTTTGAATTTAATTAATAGTAATATTATAATTTTATTACCCTGTAAAAACATAAAGAAAGTGAATAATTTCTAAATAATCCACTTTCGTAAAAATGGAAATAAATCAAATTCAATCTATTTCCACTTCCCGGAAAGTTGAAAACTCATTAAATCTTGACTTTTTTTTATGTTACATAAATTGCATAAATGAAATAATTTATTTTTCATTGTAAAAATGAGGATTATTAAAAAAATTTCCACTTTCTAGAATAAGCGAAATAGAACACTCCTAGTACAAATCCAATCTCCTTAAGTTAGTAAATTAATGAAAGATTTTCATCTAACACTGTACCTATACAAGAACACCAAGTTGGAATGTTGATTTAGTTTTTTAAGCAATTTGTCAGTTATTAGGACATAAGTGTCATCAGCAAAGTGATATATTTTTGGGAATGTAGTACATTAGGAATCATGAAATTTGTGTATTTACGGTAAATTGATTATTGATATTATGGTGTAATATAACACTGTTGTATTTTCTGCATTTAGAACATGTTGAAGATATGCTCTTACATTTTTCTATCCTATTCTTACCCTTAAGTTTACATATTTTTTATGCACCTGCCATATTTCATCAATTTATTTTATATAACACAAACCCAATTTTTTGTAGCATTTTCGGTACCTAAATTCTATTTTTCCACCTTCAATTTTGGAGACAGAGAAAAAAAGGAATTTAGAAGAAAAAAATGTGCTTAATAACAACTTAATTATATTTAAGAGATAAGAAAATGAAAAAAAAAAACAAGTGAAAGGAAAAAAGAATGTTAATATCAATTAGTTGATTTATCTTTCAAGAACCTTGAGTTTCTATTTCAATTTTTATTAATTGATCTATAGATGAAAGTAAAATTATAAAATGTATTTATTTTAAATTAGAAATATAAACTTTAAAGCAAGAATCACTAAGCCAGTATATTGCTCTAAGGAAGAATCTGACTATGTAAAACAAGAATAGTCACTTTTCTTGTTTTTAGTTATTTTATTTTACTTATCAGAATTTTGCTCTTGATATTCAACCTTTTTTTTTTTTTTGTGAAAGTTTTTATACTGTCCTTCAATAGTATTTCTTTATGCAGGCTTGGTCGGGAAGCGGGAGCGATCACTCTCGAATACTGATCACGGAAATTATATTTAGTTGCGAAAAACTGGCCAAGTTTTTTAGTCGTTTTGAGAACATTTAAGTTTATGTACGAAACAAAAAATTGTTGTTTAACGGACATACATGGAAACATAAAAAACTTTAATGTTCTTAAAACATCTTGGTACAAAAGAAGAATATTCGCGAACACTAAAAACCTGACAAATTAACGAACAAACTAATGCTATTGGTTCAAAAAATACGAAATAAAGTTCTAGAGTATTCTGTTGAAATGTTTTAGAAATTGTTTTATTCACGATTTGTTACGTTTTGAGATTTCTAGCGTAAATTGTTTTAAGAATTAATATTATTTGTTTACAAAAATAAATGTTTTAAATATATATCAATTGAATTGTCAAAATTTTAAAAGTTAATTATATTATAGATTTTATTAGTATATTCTTAATTTTTATTTAAAAAGTATGCATTCTTTATGTAAATGTAATTTTGCATATCTGTTTTTTATCGTAATGTATCTTTTAAAGCAATTTCTATGATTTAAACAAAGACTTACAAAAATAATTGCGTTTTCAATGAAGTTATAATCATTAAAGGTAATAAAACTAATTATGTAACAAACATATAAGAAGTTTCTGGTTACTAAACACAAACAACGCTTTCAAAGTAACTCACGGATAAACAAGCACCGTGCCTGAGGTCACGACAGAACACAAATATATATAGCAAAAATCTAGATATAAAGAAAAGTTTCTAGATATTGGTTTACTAACTCTAATTACTATTGCTTAAGTTGCCATTCTTAAAACTCTTTATACTTTTTTCTGCTTTAAATACTAATTAAAATTAAAAAGCCCACTCACTAAACATCATCAGCGATATTGTGGAGCAGTTTCGCTTCCTCATCATAAAGTATTTTCAACCTTTTAAGTTGATTTCTATCTTGTTAATTTAATTTTTGTAGTAATTCAATTATTTAATTATTTCATTTATTTATCTTACTAAGAAGAATTGCTTCAAATATGTTAAACTTTTCAAAATACGCGAAACATAAAATAGGTATTAAAAAAATTAACTTTTTTTATTTATAAAATAATTCAGCTTAAATAAAACTAAAACTTGCAAACTTTGTTTAATAAAGAATATTTGTTTCCATTTTAAACAATCGTAAGATGTTACTTTATATAAAAAACATCGCTTAATTTTTTAAAATTATAAAAGAGCGATGTTTCAAAAATATTTGTTCTAAACGTAATTTATTTGGCTTTAAGTTTTTTTGCGTTTAAAGATATTTTATTTGTCTAATTTTTTTTTTTTTTTTTGTAATTGTTTCTCATCGGTCCAATTTATCTTTGTGCTTTCTTTTTTTTAAATGTTCTCAAAACGACTAAAAAGTCTGGCCAGCTTTTCGCAACTAAATATTATTTACATGGTCAGCAATCAAGAGCGATTGCTTCCGCTTCCGACCAAGCCTGTTTATGCTGTCGTAATAATATCAATATTGTGCTGATGCACAATGTTGATATTATTTATTTAGGATTGTTTTATTTTCCTATAGATTAATTAAAAAAGGCTATTAGAAAGTTAAAACTTGAAATGTCTACAAAATTGATAAAAGTGGTAGTGGTTTTGTAATTTTAAAATAAGTTTTTAGTTCAAGTTAAAAGAATAAGTTCTATTAGAACTTATTCTTTGCTAATACCTGCTTTATTATCCTATAATTTATTTCATTCCTTTTTTCAAATGATTTTATTAAAAACAGTAAAGTTGTTGAGTTAACATTTCAAATAGTTGCTAATGTAATTGGTTATGATCTTGGGTTTGATATATATAGACCATATGTAGGCTCTCAGCATTTATTAAACTTAACACATGAACTAGATTTTTCAAGTTATTTTTTACTGATGAGTTATTTGCAGTATATTGCAACTGAAACTAATGGTTAGGCCAGATCGAAAAATGAAAATAATGGTTTGGAATCTCATTTTATTTGCCATAAATGGAATGACACTTGAAGAAATTCATGGTTACTTTGATAATATTTTGAATATGGCTCTGAATGAAAAATTAAGTATAAAACAATACTTTTCCTGTGATTAGCTAAACTACGTGCCATTTGTTCTAGCAGTTTTCTAGTTTTCTTTTAGAACTTTGTTCCTTCTCATAATTGGATGTTGCGCATATCCCCACCATTTTATCCATCTAAGAAATTGAATAGACAAGAGGAAAAGTGTGTGATAATCATTATAAAATTTTATTGTTATGTTTATAACAATTTTTGTCATAATATTATCAAGTTGATTGATGAAATTTATTACTGCTAGTCATAAGTTATTTTTGTATATAATTATGCCCTCAAGAATTTTTGTTTAAGTAAAAACATGTAAATATATAATATATAATAAATAATATGTAATAAATAATAATATGTTAAAAAGTTGTTAATAGAACATAAAAAGAACAAAGTTAAAATAAAAGTAGACAAAGTTTACTTTTATTTTTACTTTGAATCAGAAATGAAAAGTTTCTTTTTTATAAATTTTGTCCTATCTCATAATATTGCAATTGATGAAAAGACTATTAAATTTATAGGTAGAATAGCATTTTGCATGTACAATCCACAAAAACCCACAAAGTGGGGCATTGGCATTTTTATCTTAGCCAACAGTGATACAAGTAATATTAGTTTTTTTCAACTGTATTATAGGTAATTCCATGTCAAATGACAGAGAAATTTTTTAAAATGTCACTCTATATCTAAAATTTTGCAGATTTTTATGCAGTTAAGAATATTTAGTAAAATAAGAATTTCTTGAAAATTTTGCCCTTTGGCTCTATGAAGATCCTGAAATATGACCATTTTACTTTAAACAGATGTTGGCCAGGCCCCTTTTGTACCCTCAGAATTGCAATGTTTATTTGGAGGTTCCAAGTTACATAACTTTAAAAATGTTTAATCTTTTTACTTAAAAATATGTACCTGGCAATTTTCAGGGGTGGCGAATCCAATAAAATGGTCAGAAATGTAAAAAATTTTTTCAAGTAACTACATTTACTAATTTAAATAAATTTAGGCAATTTTTTATAAACCTGATTTTGATGCTCAAGAAACCCAATTTTTGATAGTCATGGTAAGTCAACATGTGATGGTATTGGTGGTACTGCAAAACAATTAAATGCAAATGCAAGTATACAAAAGCCCATAAATGAACAGATATTGAATTATAATAAAATGATTGATTTTCCTGGAACTAGGAGCTATCATCAATTTAACCCAGAATCTATAGATACTGTTAGCTTTAAATGAATAAGTGAAGATTATAATAACAGGCATGTTTTCTTTTTCTGGTATTCAAAGTATTCAACCTAATCAGCAAATAATATCAATATATTGAAATTTGGTGAATTTATTCTGGGTAAATATGATACATTAAATAATATTGACAATATTAAGCAAAATGTTATGGTAATATTTATAAACCCGCACATTTAACAAACTTTTCTGGCCATCTAGAGCAGATTGAGCATTGGGTTCCAATTACCAACATAATTTATATCATTGATGCGCCTGCAATAACAACTGGATGTATGTATACTTTGACCGTTGACGTGTCTAAGCAAATCTTAACACAATCTTGACATTTTATATTTTTGCATCTTACTTTGTAAATAATTAAGTAAAACAGTTCAAGTAAAAACAAAAAAATTTTTTTGAAAACAGTATTTTTAAAGTTACCTTTAAATTATTGAAAATGCAAAAAAAAAAAAATTCTCAGCAAAAAAAGTAGGGCATGGCTTTAGTGCTTGGGTCAAGGACCGGCTGGTCGTCTGCCCTGGAAACAATTTTAACACACATTTATCAAGACTACACAAATGTTGAACGTTTTAGAGCTCCAGCTTGTCTGGAAGGTAGTGCAAAATCTATCACAAGATTCCATTACAAATGTGGGGTACTTCTTCCAGTCCTCCTAATGTCTTTGGGGCCTGAAAACAATTTTAACATGGACATTTATTGGTAATACAGAGATGCCAATATTTTTAGAGCTCTAGCTAATCTGGAAGATAGTGAAAAATCAATTGTATAATTCGGCTACAAAAAATTGGAGACCATGCCCCATTATTCCATATATGGAAATCCATATACTTGCAGATCAAAATCTTTATATTTTTTGAAAGATCAATGAATAAAGAATAATGCGTAACATTTTTTTTTTGATATCATCAAGACCACATGGGTTTTTTGAGCATTAAAATCAGGTATATAAAAAATTACCTAAATTTATTCAAATTGATAATTACAGGTACTTAATAATAATTTTTTACACTTCTGATCAATTCATTGGATTCGAAATCCCAAAAACAGCAAGTTATAAATTTTTAAGTGAAAAAATATAATATTTATTAAATGTTGCTATTCTGAGGGTACAAGAGAGGCCTGCCCAATATCTGCTAAAAGTAAGCAATCATATTTCAGGAGTCAGAGGCTAAAATTTTCAAGGAATTCTTACTTAACTAAGCACTCTTAACTGAATAAAAATCAGTAAAACCTGAGATGTAAGGTGACATGACCTGGGTCAATTGACATTGAATTTCCTTCATGATAATTACACTACTGAAAATTTGGCAAGACCTATAACGCAATTTACCTATAAGACAAATCGTGTTGCATTCGCATGATGAGTACTCAGAAACTGCCGAAGGTAGTGGTTATCATTTATATACTGACAGATTATTTACTAGTTTTCCTATTACACAAGAGCTCCTCAAAAAAATACAGGGACAATAATGATTAAAAAGCAGTTACCTGCAGATATAAAAAAAAAAACTCAAATTATAGAAGAACGAAGTTTCTGCACATGTAAACTCCTCAAAGGTTTTTGCATGGCAGGATTGGCAAAAGATTCTGATGCTGAGTACTTTCCACGATTTAACAACTGAAGTTGTGAATCAAAGAACAAAAGAAGGTGTTGTTGACATTGATAAACCAACTGTTATTGTAAATTATTCGAATCGTTTGGAAACTGTGGACCGAGCTAATCACTATTGTTCTAACTATTAATTTCTACGCAATCTTAAAAGTGGTAAAGAAAAATTTGTTAACGGTTATTGGAAGTTGCAGTTATAAACAGTTAAATATTAATACATTTTGTGAACGCAATGGTAAAAGCAAACTTCAACAACTAGCTTACAGACGAAATTTCATTAAGTAGATAGTTTGAACATGTTGTAACAACCAAGAAAAAGAGGGAGGTGATCATCATCAGATGACAATAAATGCCTTATCCAAAAGCCACATTTTATTGCAAAAGCTCTATGGAATAATGTTTGACTGTCTACTCTGCTGTAACAGGAAAACACAGGGTGGTAAAAGAAAAACTATATACTATTGTAAAACCTACATTAGAAAACCAGGACTATGTCCTACTGATTATTTTGACTTAACCATACTAAGACTGACTTTTGTGTAAAATTTGTGTAAAAGACAATAAAATCTTGTTTAGTGCTTGCACTTAGGTTTTTTTAGCAGAACAAAAATTAAACTATTTAGAGCTACATTTATAAACTATTTTTTATGAAAAATAGATCAAAGCCATGGGTCAAACATATATTTTTTATTATACTTAAGGTCAACAAGTAAAAAAAAAATTGGACCTGATAGGTAAAAAAAAATTTTTTTCTTAAAGACCTCGAACAGTTAATATAATCGATTAAAAAAAAGTATAATTCATTTCAATTATAATTTAAATAATTATATAATTCAAAATAATTAACTTATTATTACCCATATATAGGTATAGCCACATAAGTGTTAATTTTCTAACAATAATTGTAAGTAAAAAATTCAAATGTTAGTTAATTGTTTGTTTGGTTGCAATTTGCAACTTGCAAAATGGACTGTTTTAGTAATCTGATTTATAATGATCAACAAACAAGTTTTTAAATGTTACCGTAATTAAGTTAAGGTAAAAAAGTTAAGATAGTTAAGGTAGTTAAAGTAAAAAAAACAATGGATTATAAAATTTATGAGCATTTTAAATTGCATTTATATTTATTAACATGAATATTATGAAATGTAGCTAAATTTGTTATAAATCTAGATACATTTCGTAATGCTCGTAATGTATTTATATTTATCATAAATTTTATGATAAATATAAATACATTAAAAATATAAAATACCAACCTCAATACAAAAATATTAGATTGCAAACCCTGTTTGGAAATAAAATTTGAAACAATCTTGGACAAAGATCCCCGCTGGACAAGAACAGAATTCATCTGTATACCAATCAATTACCAACGTTTTTTTCAGCAAATAAAAATAGAGAACCGCATCATAGGTCCTTTATATGAGTGGGGATACTTTGCACAACTGACTCCGCCGAGCCAAAATTATGGTACGCTCTCTTGAATCAGCGGTGTCCTTCACGTCCAAAAGCCAAAAGCAAAAAACTAGCCAAAGAAATCAATTATTTTTAAAGGGTTTTAGAACTTTTTGGTGCTTTACTATAGTGCTTTGAGCTGTTTTCTGTTAAGAGAGAAATCTTTACGGCTTACTCATGACAGAGAAGCGCAAAATAACATTTAATAAGGATGTTCAGTGAAAATCATTGTTAGCGAAGAAGACGTGAACATTGTTCACGCCTTCTTCGCAACCAATGTTGCATATATGGCCAAAGGCAATATGGAACCACAGACCTCCATTTTTGAAAACAAAATTTTAAACACTACAACATGGCTACATAAGTTAAATTCGTTTAATGTATTACGAATACCAAAACTGATTTTTTGAAGCATTTCTTTATCATCAATTCTAACCTTAATAATTATATACATATTTAATAACAATAATAATAATAGTAATAATAATAATAATAATAGCAATAATAATAATAATAATAATGATAAAAAAGCAAAAAGTTATAACGAAGTTCGAATTTAGAAAAAGAACTTTTAATTAATTACCGTTAATCAGCAAGTCATGTAAGTAAAATATCAAGGAAAAAAGTAAAGAAAATAAAGAAGCATTTAATCATTTATGTTTATTTTAAAAGTATACATACTCATTTTATCATACTATTAATATTAGCTTTATAATTGTATTTTTTTTAATTGAATGTTGTTCATATTTATAGTATTTGTATTTTTATTACACATTCCTACTGCTACTATTGTTATTACTGTCGTTATTGTTATTATTATTTCAATTTTTGTGATTTTTTATTATTATTATTCTTGTTATTATTATTATATTTAACATTTTTTATCAAAAACTTCATCATCGTTATACTATAATATAATTACTACAATTGCTATATTATTATTTCTCCTTTAATAATCTTATTAATCATTGTTTCTCAACTAATTTCTACTATTATATCGAAACTATGCAAAGTTTTGTGATAACAATATAAGCGCAAATCGTCTTTTGCTTTAATACAACAGGCGCTTGAGTTCCACAAGAAATGTAGCTCTTTGAATAATAATGATTTTAGTTTGTCAAAAAAAAAATTTTAACACTTTTTGGCTTTGTATTACATGCTGCAACAGTATCTTTTTATTTAGCTTTATATCGGATAATGAATTATGTCTTCAAACTTTATTTGACAATATATTACATTGTAATGAACTATCAAATGACCTTTTACTCTACTCTAGCTGCTGAGAATCTAATACTTATCACCTTAACATTGTCTTTAATTATATGCGACATGATGATATGAACGAAATTTAAGAACCAATCAATTGTAAATACATAGACGTAAATAATTGTTTACATCTGTTTCATAAACATTTTGATGAATTTTCTTTAATTTTGACTCTAATAAATTATGAATTTAGTAAAATTGGAATGATAAAAACAACCTGAAATATGATTTACTCCAAGCAAGCTGAAATACGATTTACTGCCAACAACTTCAACGAATCTTAGCGGATATGTTTATAAACACTCCAACAAAAACTTTATTGGGAGGCGCTTCGCTTTATATTTCTAATAAACTAATTAATAAATGAAAACCACAATTCTAGGAGCCTTTGTGCGTTAAAATCATTTTCCCTTACAATTTTCTGTTAAAAAAAAATTAAATTATCTTTATAATGGGTGGTTTTTATACAGATCTAAAAAAGCAAACTCAGATATTTCAATCTCTATGTCTTTAAAAGTCATAGCTTCAAACAACAATCTTCCTTTTATACCCTCATCGACAAGAATTATTAACTGTTCAAGTATTTAATGGATGATATATTTTCTAATTCAACTTCTAAAGATACTTTTTCCGGCCATCTAACTATTAAAATATCGGATCATTTGCCTTCAGTTTTATATTTATCATTTAATATTCATCATAATCATCTTCATTTTATATTCATCTTTTATATCTTTTGTATTCATCTTTTATGTTCATCTTTTAAATTTAAAAAAAGATATATTAGTTATCGTAAAATCGATTAGAATATCTTCGAAATTTCAAAAAAATTTCGAAGATAAGATAGAAATTTGATTACTCGAAAATTAATTACGATAGAATAACCAAAGTTTCCAATGGTAACACTAATAAATAATATGAAGGCGTCTTCACCAAGGATTAATATAGCAATTTTTACTCCAATAAAAAATCGAAATCATTTCAATATTTCGAAATTTCTTTAAACAAATAATTTACATGAAAAACTTATTCTTGAAAAAACAAACAAAACCTGTAGAAATTTACTTGTAACACTATATTGAAGTTTCAAAAAGAAACACATGTAACACTATATTGAAGTTTCAAAAAGAAACACATGTAACACTATATTGAAATTTACTTGTAACACTATATTGAAGTTTCAAAAAGAAACACATGTAACACTATATTGAAATTTACTTGTAACACTATATTGAAGTTTCAAAAAGTAACACTATATTGAAGTTTCAAAAAGTAACACTATATTGAAGTTTCAAAAAGTAACACTATATTGAAGTTTCAAAAAGTAACACTATATTGAAGTTTCAAAAAGTAACACTATATTGAAGTTTCAAAAAGTAACACTATATTGAAGTTTCAAAAAGTAACACTATATTGAAGTTTCAAAAAGTAACACTATATTGAAGTTTCAAAAAGTAACACTATATTGAAGTTTCAAAAAGTAACACTATATTGAAGTTTCAAAAAGTAACACTATATTGAAGTTTCAAAAAGTAACACTATATTGAAGTTTCAAAAAGTAACACTATATTAAAGCTTCAAAAAGTAACACTATATTGAAGTTTCAAAAAGTAACACTATATTGAAGTTTCAAAAAGTAACACTATATTGAAGTTTCAAAAAGTAACACTATATTGAAGTTTCAAAAAGTAACACTATATTGAAGTTTCAAAAAGTAACACTATATTGAAGTTTCAAAAAGTAACACTATATTGAAGTTTCAAAAAGTAACACTATATTGAAGTTTCAAAAAGTAACACTATATTGAAGCTTCAAAAAGTAACACTATATTGAAGTTTCAAAAAGTAACACTATATTGAAGTTTCAAAAAGTAACACTATATTGAAGTTTCAAAAAGTAGCACTATATTGAAGTTTCAAAAAGTAACACTATATTGAAGCTTCAAAAAGTAACACTATATTGAAGTTTCAAAAAGTAACACTATATTGAAGCTTCAAAAAGTAACACTATATTGAAGTTTCAAAAAGTAACACTATATTGAAGTTTCAAAAAGTAACACTATATTGAAGTTTCAAAAAGTAACACTATATTGAAGTTTCAAAAAGTAACACTATATTGAAGCTTCAAAAAGTAACACTATATTGAAGTTTCAACACATTTCAGACTACTTTACTACTATTAGCATAAGTTTAAGAGCTATGTGGGTGGGTATTAGAACTCTTTTGAATATATATTCGGATGGTATCTCATACCAGTCTTGCACCTCTTCAAACAACCCCATTATACTTGATCCAGTTAAAGTTTTGGAAATTCTTAACTCCTTTATTTTATTTTCTAAAAAACAGTAGAAAAATATTCACCTGTCTCAATTAAAAATATTATTGTGTTTAAAACTGAAAAAAAAAAAATTAAGGGGAAAAGCGTACAAACTTGTTATATAATTTTAGGGGAGGGGAGGGGGTCAATAAAGCAAGACAATTTTTTACCGATGAGGAGGGAGTGGAGCGATTTATTGGACAATAAATTTCGTGACGTATGTATGTAACTTTGATACGAATAATAAGTTTTTTAAATGAATAAAATTATCGTTTAAATATATACAATTATTTACAGTGTTTATTTACATTTTATTTACAACTTAAAGTTATTTAAAAATTAAACAGACTTACCATTAAAAAAAGAAACATATATAGTAATAAAAATAATAATAATAATACTGAATATTGATGAAAAAATATAAGAATGATTCTTTCATGATTACTTGATAATTAAGGATAATTGATAATTGTTTTGTTTTCCGTTCTTGTTTTAATTCTTATCCAATAAAAATACCAAGGCAATTTTCAAAATTCGTAAAGTGTCTTTCATAGTTCACATCTTTTTAGTTTAGCTTTCGCGTTTTGCAAGGAATTATAATAGCGTAGCTAAGATATTATAACTCCTTGCGTTTTGAAATTTCTTCTCTCGCAAGTCTCTCATCCTCCTCCTGTGGTATTTATAAAACGTTTAAATCTCCTGTAATGAAAATTTAAATAAATGCTTTAAATTATAAGATCAAAAAAAATAAATTTAAAACTTTAAAAGTCCTTATAACTTTAAAAATCAATTAATTTCAACTTAACTTTTAATATATTTGAACTTTTATAAATTTTCACATTTAATAAACATTGACTTTAATAAACTTTAACTTTTATTAAACTATAACATTTAAAAAAATTTTATTTTGAATAAATTTTTCACTTTTAATATAGTTAGACAAAAATTCCATACCCTGCAGTAGTCATGGTAACAAAAGTTAACTAAAGAGAGCGAGGATTGCTTTGAAAGTTTGAATTTTCTTTTGCAGATTCTGAAAATAAACTGCACTTGCAAACAAGGTTGCCCAAATTGTAAGAGACATAACAAGCATTGCGAGTTCTTTAATACTTGCGTAGATTTATTGCTAACAAGTGAAGACCGCGCGCGTGCCGAGAAAGTTTAAAAAATTTCAAAAGGCGCAGGATTCAAAAAATATTATGTATCTTGATACTTTAGAATCAAAATCAATTCCCAAGTAAAAAGGTAAAATTGATACCAAATCTATTATGTTGAGAAAAGATCGAGCAAAAAAAAAAAAAAAAAGATCGGATGCCACAATAAAGCAAACTAGTTACTCAATTTTAAACCTGAAGCTGCAAATAGAATTTAGAAACAGCCATGTTATTTTCAATTGCTTCCCCTTTTTATGATCAGAGTCAAATGATAGAGTTGTTTCATGCAAAACATTACCATTAATAGCAGTATTATTAAGATAGAAAGAGTGGTTAAAAATTGAGCAAGTCTTGAAAATTTTGGGTACTTAAACATTATCCAAATTGTTGTGAGAAAAAAATTGAATGGAAACTGCAATTTTCATTTGCAATTTACTACATTAATATTGTTTTCAAACTCAACGCCGTTTCTCCTAGCTCAAAAAGTATAATTTCCTGAGTAAATATCTTTTTTGAAACCGCTTCAGGTTTTTCTAGTAATTCACTAGATTGGTTACAATCTAGTGAATTATCAGATTGTAACATTAACGTTAAACTTATCATGAAAAAAAAAAGTTACATTTCGGAAAAATAAAATCTAAAAGTTTACCTAAACTCATAAGTTTTTTTTTGTGGTTTATTAAAACTAACAAAAGCCATTGAAGCCTGTAACTAACAGAATGCATCGAGTCTTACTTTAATAAATTTGATTATTATAAATTGTTAATGATAACTAACTACTGAGTTTTTGCTTTTGATTCGAAATGTTCCTAGTTATTAGAGCACTTCGAAACGAAAATAATAGAAAATAAATCAACAACAACAACCAAATATATAACAAATATGTAAATCAAAAATATGCCCTTGTTTACTTTTTTTTTTGTGGTCTACAATATTGTAATAAAAAAATGGCTAGATGCTATTTAATATCAAAGATCAGTAAACATGATCCTGGAGTCTTGTTTTTGTTAAACGCTGACTCATTTAACAAACGTTTCTGAGTATATGCTGCCTTTTGAAGTCAATGCTACCAAAAAGCCTGGAGGATAATTATCTTGTCATTCTGGTTTTATTCTCTTACCTTTGAAGTTACTCATAGCTTATCCACAAGCTAATAAAGCTGTTCCAAAGCTAGTATATGGACTCTTTTTGCATTTTTTTGTGCCGAAACTTTTGTAAAAGAGTTAAATTACCACCTTTTTCATTAATGTTGTAAACTTAAGCCTTAAACTTAAACTTGATTGTTTCTCAAAGAAGAATAAGGATGACGCTCTTTAAATCCTATTAGCCAGTCACACCAAACTCTGCGTTTGTCTTCAGTTGACATAGATATACCTATGTCAAAGGTATACCTATGTCATAGGTATACCTATCTCAAAAAAATTTGTATATATACGGATTTTTTTGAGTTAGATGATATGATGATTTTTTGAGTTGGATGATTTAATGATGTACAGATTATCTCAACAATTTCGGTAAGATAGAATGACTAACACTAACCGTTTAATGTAGGCCATTAACTTGTTTTCCTGTTCTGCCATAAAAATTGGTTTGCGACTAAATCGAGCATTTGGTATTTGTTTTCTTTCTATGAACCTTTCAAGGGTTTTTTTTGGCACTTTAAAATCTTTAGCAGCGGTGTTCACCTTCTTTTCATATACAATTGCATTTAAGGCCGATTGCAGGTATTAAGTTATATACATATAACTTAATCCTTTCATAATAAAACAACTTATAATCTGAAAAAAAAGCATTAACCCTAATTTATGAAATATAACCAACAAAAAAATCATAAAAACATTTCTTCCTATTTCCATATTGCAAATATGGTCAAATCGGTGATAATATTAACTTGTCTTTACGTATTCAAAATTTGTTTACAAAAATCAAAACTTTATTTGAAAAAATCAACAGGACAATTTATTTTGTGCAGCACCTAATGACAAATGCTACGCAAAATAAAATTGTTTGCTTACATTGAACTACAAACTTGTTCGACGTAAAGAAAAAGTTTTAACAAAAAACTTTATGTTATGAAAAAAACCTGAATTCTAATTAAATAAAAATAACTTTTAAACTGTTCCGTAGGTTAATTAGCGTTTAAAGCAAAAATACGTTACTGAGAAACTTACTGTCGAAGTAGCTAAAAAAATATAAATCTGAGCCTATTTGTATACTTTGCAACTTTGAAAATTATCCATATGCTCAATTCTTTATTATTTTTTTTTTTTTGTTATTTAATGAAAAACTTCCATATTTTAAATTAAAAGGGAAAGGTAAAATTCATAGCACAATGGTTTGTTAAGATAAAAACTTAGCAAAATTAATGTGCTATGAATTAGCAGCTTGTCGATCTTTTTTTATTTCAAATACCTTAGAAGTATTAGAGCTTAAAGCTCTTTCAACCACGTAAATAAAACTTGGTCACACAGAATTACGAAAAATGAAAAAACTGGTATTTATGATCAAAAATGCAATGAACGCGTTGAACACTCATATAACAAACTTATAAAAGTAAAAGTTTTTTAAAATTCAGAAGCAGAGATTGTGGTCTGACTTAATTAAAGTTAACTTCAAGACACGGAGCAAAGTTCAAGTTACTATATGTTTTTGCTTATATTAGATAAAAATTTGCAAAGATTTACAGTGATTGCGGCTTAGGAACGTCAAAAACCCCGCAACTTCTTTAGCTCTTCTAAACTTAAATGCGAGTACCATGAAACGTGCATCGGATAATCACAAATAACAAGTAAGTAAAGCAATGATTATAATCAAGAAATATTCTAATAAATAACCACTGTGAGAAAAAAGTTATTAAAAAAAAAACACTTACAAAATACAGCAATTCTAAAACCTAAAAACGATAAATTGAAAATAACTTAATTAAAAAAATTATAATAAATTATAATAAAGTTATGATAAAGTTTAAAATAAAATATGAAAATAAAAAAGTGAAATAAAAAATAACTATTATAATATATAAAAAAACTGTAGTATAGTATGAAATAGTTATTAATATTATTAAATATAAAATTATTACAACAAGTAGTATAGCAAGTATGATAAAATAAAAAATACAGATATCCCGTGTGTAATAAAATCAAAAAATATAATGCATGTGCTGTAGACGGAAAGTTAGCCTCTTTTAATTCTATTATAAGGAGTCATCTATAAATGACGTCATGCTATAAGAGGGAGGGGGTTGGTGATTTTGTGACAACTAATGCAAAACTTGCTACTTAAGTATAACAATTTTGTCACAAGGAGGGGGGAAGGAGTAGGCCAAAAACGGTTAAAAATTGCGTCAGGGTTAGGGTTAGGATCAGGGTTATGGTTAACGCTAACCCTGACCCTAACCCTAACCCTGATGGAAATTAACTACGTCACGCAAAAAAATTTGAAAATATACCATTTTTAAAACAAAAAAACTTTGAAAATGGTACATTTCTCTCTAAAATAATAGAGAGATTCTATCTTCTTTCAGTGAAAATTAAACTATCCATGTGATTTTAATCTTAACTTTTTAAATTTGCTTTATGCTTCAACTTTTATTTTTAAAAATTTAAACATATATTTTGATAAAAATTTTTTATATTTTTTTGTAAATAAATAACTATGTGAAAGTTTATTTTAAAGACATTCAAGAGATTACAGGATGAAGACAATTGTTTTTGATATTTTAAAACATTACAGGATGAAGACAATTGTTTTTGATATTTTAAAAAAGTAACTTGTAATCATTATAGAAACTGGTACTAATTACGGTATGTAAAAAACCACGTTTAATGGAGCCTGGGATAAAACAAACAAAAACTCTAAAATGATAGCCACCTTACTTTTTTTTCTAAATTTGATGGCAATTTGATTAGGAAATGAAATTTTATGCTACAATCCTAAGCAATATTTATTAACATCGACAATTTTTGATCTTTATTGAAAAGGTTTGTTAAATTTTTGAAAACACCGAGAAAAGTTTACAAATCTTTTAAATGTAGTGGCATCTGTCTTGAAGCACTGCAGAAGTGCGTTTAACTAGAGAGTTTTAAACTAGAGAGAGATTTAAAAAGAAAAAAAAATTAAAGACAAAACAATTTAAATTAAGTAGGGGAGAGTGGTACTGAATCGATCACAAAACTCAACTTTTTTATAAAAAAAATTTTCCCTATATTGTCAACTACTATGGCGGATATATTAATTCAGAAGTCAAGATTAATATCTTGACTAAAAATTCTTAAAAGTTGTAAACCATTGTGAAAACAGAACATAGTTAAAATGTACGATAAATGTGACTCATACCAAATTGTATAATGTATAATTCAGTACTTTTCATTACACTGAATGGTCTAACCTTTGAACTAAATGAACCACAAAAAAATTTTTTTTGTAAATAAGATTTTTTTTTTTTTTTTTTTTGCCGTTTCATATATTTACAATATAGACATATTACATTTATAAAAATTGGCCGGAGCAAGAAGAAGACAATGACTGTCTTATCACCGAGCCCCGTTTACAAATTGCCCGTGTTTATAAACAAATATAAATAAAATATACAAAAAAACGTTAAAGAGTACATAACTTTTGTCAAATAATAAAATGACATTTATGTTAAAATTTAAAAGTAAAGAAAGTTTTGTATACTAATACAAATATATTTGATACATATAACAAAATATATTTAATGATAATGGGAGCGTTTGTTTCTATTTTAAAATTTCCTTTTAAAAAAAATACTTAAAGTCTATTGAATTAAAATCTAATTGAGGTAGGATTCTTTTAGAAACTGTTTTAAATTTTTCTAAAAAGTAGTGTTCTTTATTAAAGTTTTTAATAAAATTTTTCCATAAAAAAGGTCCTCGATATTTAATTTGATAAGAACTTATTTTTAAATTTATTCTCGGAACAATAAAGTTATCCTCTGAAAACTTTGTTGAATACTTATGAGATATTTCGCTAAAATAAGATTGAAATATAAGTGGAGATATTCCATGTTTCATTTTAAACATGAAAAGTAATGTTTGGTAAATGTTTAGTTTATAAATGTTTAAGACCTTGAGACGATTTAATAGTGGTTCGCAATAAACAGTTCTGTTTGCCCCAAATGCAATCCTACAAGCATGCTTTTGTTTACTATAATTTTGGATAACTATTTATTATAAGATTGGATGTGAAACTTCCATGACAAATTTTCATCAAGAATTACGCCTAAAAAATTAACAGTAGATTCCCTTTTTACATCTGTTTTATTGAATAAAAGATTTGGCAGTTTAAGTGGAGTTTTATTAACTTTATTTGGTTTGTGGAACAGGATGAATTTAGTTTTATCTACATTTAGTGAAAGGCGGTTACTTATAAATCATTCATTTACTTTAGATAATTCTTCATTAAAAATTTTAAAGAGAATTTTTATATCTGTGTGTGAATAAAACAGATTGGAATCGTCAGCAAACAATATAAGATATAATTTTTAGATGCTAAAAATAAGTCGTTTATATATACTAAAAACAATAATGGTCCTAAGATAGATCCTTGAGGAACCCTGCAATTTATAAGCTTTTTTTTTGGTTTCATTTGTTTCATAGGTTATGCATTGTTTTCTGTTAGTCAACCCAGTAAGCACAGAACGTTTTTAAAACGTTTAAAAAACCTATAAAAACGGTTTTTACCGTTTTTTAAACGTTTTAAGAACGATCTGTGCTTACTGGGAAGTAGTTTTTAAACCAAAGTAAGTTTAAGTTGTTTACTCCATAAAATTTTAATTTTTTTATAAGGATTTCATGATTGACAGTGTCAAATGCTTTGGATAAATCAATGAAAACTCCTAAGGTAAAATAATCTTTATCAAAAGCATCCGATATATGGTTTACAAGCTCAATTACCGCGTGATCCGTAGAATAAGATCAATATCTATATCGTCTATGGTAGATATATTAATTCAGAAGACAAGATTGATATCTTAACTCACTATCCTAGTATATTGTATACTATATTAAAAGTTATAAACAATTGCATATAGCAAGTTACATTATGCAAAGCAATTAGGGTGATAAGTGAAGTTTAAAAACAAGAAAGTATGTTGAGACATTAGAAAAGCAGTATCTTGATATTTCTGAATTAATTAATACAATTTTAGACCAAAGTCTCAATCAGATAGTCAAACTACAATAATCACAAACATATGGGCTGGCATTATCTGCACTTATGCAAGCTTTATGTGCCCAGCTTGCACATTGTCTGCAATGGTAATACACTTCGTTGTCTTGACCCATTCTTTACATATAGCACACAAATCATAATTTGATGTAATACCTCCACAAATATTTAAACAATCTTTAACACTATTATCACTTCTTTCAATAAGAATATCATCAGCCTCATCATTATTATGAAGAAACTGGATTGAGTTTGAGTGCTTCAGGATTAGGACTATTAATTTCTATTGAAACCGGATTGATGTTATGTGTGCTTTGGGTTTAGGTCTATTGATTTCTACTGCAATGTCATAGACTGAAACTGGACTGAGATTGAGGGCTTCAGGACAAGGTCCATTAATTTCTACTAAGCTGGATTTATGTTGAGTGTTTCAGGATAGGGTTTGTTTTTAACGTGAGATAAAAAGGAATTCTCATCCTTCCATCAATCAGGTTAAAATAGACTTATTCCAGATGCTGAAAAACTACTAAGAGGTTGTCCATAAATTATGTCGCGCAATTTTTGACCTTTTTTGACCTCCTCTCCCCCCTCGTTACAAAATTGTAACGCTTATGAAGCAAGTTTTGTATAAGTTGTCACAAAAGCGCCAACCCTCCCTGCCCTTATATTGAGATGTAATTTATGGATGACCCCTAACAATGATAACTGGCACTTTTCTCTGAGCCTTTTCAGAAATTTCTGCAATTTCATAGATTGAAACATTTTTTCCTGGCTGTGATACCAACCAGCCATCAATTTCACAATTATAATAAAATTTGAAAGATCCATACACTTTATATCTAAGGGTTTCAACTTGTGTGATGTATGGGGTGGGATTGTTAAAGCAATTACACCATTATCTGATATTAAGTCAATGAAGTTAATTGACATATGTTTATCATGATTATCTAGTATCAACAGCGCAGGGTTTGCTTTAGATGGTTGAACACTTTTTTAAAAATGATAAAACCATTTCATAAAAGTTGATTCCACCATCCACCCAGATTTGTTGGCAGTGCCGACAAAACCGGAAATTGAATTTCGCAGAAAAAAAAATTTAAAATAAACACGCAGAAATATGTAACCTTGTTACCAAGATACCAAAAATGTTCTGCACTTGTAACAGAAGCAACTTGCGACTCTCTTACCTTGGCTAAAACATGCTCTGGCACTTGAAGAGTAGTAACACCAGTCTTATCAACGTTCCATAAATCATTCGGTAAAAACTTGTATTTAATCAAGACTATGTAGATTATAATAAAATAGATCTACATTATATTTCTTGAATGCTGACATTTAAACCAATGGCTGTTACCTCTGGTTTCCTTATAACATGTATTTGATGACGGCTTAAAAAAGCTCTTAGTCAATCTACATCTGCATGTTTATTTTTTACCCAAGGTTTAGCAGAACCTCGACGAGAGTGTGGACATTTCTTCTCAAGTTTGAGAGTATATTCAAATGTTAGTGCTCTTAGCTTAATAGGACTTAACCCATATCACATTTTTGCAAAAACTAAACAATATTGAATCAGCTCTTGTTCTTCTGTTACTGAAAAAACTTTCATAGAACTGTTACTATCTGAAATACATTACAATTTATTTAATTTGAAGAATTAGTTTGAAGATAGTCAAGTTTTTTTAATTCGCCTCTTAAGAGTTCTTAATGCGGTAGTGGTGTAGTGGTAGAGCGCTCGCTTCATAAACGAGTGGTTCTGAGTTCGATCCCCACCACGTCCCTGGTAGTACCGCGCTCAACTCGTTTCTCCGCGCAGCGGCCTTGTTTGTCAAGGTTTGTGTTTTGGAGTTATAGAGTTGAGAGAGGGTTATAACTACAAATAAGTAGCCTCCTCGTCTGTAGTGGCCTTCTCGGCCTTGAGGAGGTGAATTAAAATAATAATAATAAAAAAAAGAGTTGAACGTTTGACTCCAAATATCTTAACAGCTTTTTTTTCAGATAAAGTTCAACTGCTTCGATCATGTTATTGGGATCCCAATCACCTTTTAGCTGTTGCTTTACAATGTTTTATAATGCTTAAGAAATGAAAAAAACTTGTTTATAACCACATTACAAAAAAATTATATATATATATATATATGTATATATAAATATATATATATATATATATATATATATATATATATATATATATATATATATATATATATATATATATATATATATATATTGAATGTTATATGCTAGATATATTATTATAAGTAAAAACAACTTCTATAATTTACTATATTGTAATAATATTACGACATATTTAATTATTAAAATAATCAAGTTAACTACAAAATAATAATTATTACCTCAGTATGTAAATAATTATTCTGCTTAAGTCTTCGTTAATAAAAGTTTATTAGTTATTTTGGCTTATTTTCTAATTCACACTTCCATAGTTTGTATAGATAAAAAAGAACTTCTGTATTTTATTTTGTTAGTAACACACTGAAGCGCGATAAATACTTTGCAGAAAAATAAACCGGTCCATTCAGTAATGAATAACAGTCAATGGTGGTTCATCCAGTACACTAATCAAAATGCCCATGTTACCCATATAAAGAGACTTTTAGCATACAAAATTATAAGGAATGGAAAAAAATAAATTAATCGATTGCTAAGTTCTTATATTTCTAATGGTGCATTCAGTACCACTCTAACATACATACTTTTTACTTTCAAATGTAAATAGATATTACTTTTTTTCTATTTTTTTGTGTCAAGAACCGAGTTTATCTGACACCGTCCTGTAATGTCATTAAATGCCATTTGAGCAATGTGAATAAAATACTTGAAAAATGTTGTGCAACTGTCTTCTATGTTAAAGATACTTTTATAATGTAAATGATTTTAAAGTTAATAAGTATGTTTTAAGGTATAGCAAACTGATAACCAAAAGCAAATCAACAAAAAATTTTTTTTAATCGATTCATTTTTTACTGCTGACTAAAATTTACTGAAGCATAGGGACCAATTAAGAACAAAGGTGTGGAACAAACTTAGCATGACTCGTATCGTACGGTTCTTGATTGCTAGTATATTATTAATAATGTATTAAGTATGACTGATAAAGTAGCAACATATCTTGTATAATTGCTTAAATTTGTTTTAAATTATTATATAAACTTTAACACATAAACATTTAAATATGATTATAACAAATAGTTATAATTAATTGTATGTAATACAAATTAACTATAAATATTTTGTTTTAATTATATATCTTTTATTTATAAATATTAATTTTTAAATATATTGTATTTAAAAAATATTTACCAGTTATCTTTATTTTCTTCAAGGAATCCAAGGAACAGAGAGGTTATTTCTCAAAATAGCGTCATCAAGAACGTATAACATTTTATTTCCAGCCATCTTTTTTACCAATAATTAATTAATGATTACAATCGTACCAGCTTTTTCGAGATCATTGAATGTGGAGTCTAGCTCTCTAACCATTGTACCATGATGTTTAAAAAAAAAGTCACTTTTTTCCTAACTTTGTTAAAACCGGATTTTTATGTTGCTACATATTGTTATTGCTATTATTGTTTATATATTGGTACACTTATAATGAAATATATTAAATCAAATAGTTAGTTTATAGTTCAAATATATATATATATATATATATATATATATATATATATATATATATATATATATATATATATATATATATATATATATATATATATATATATATATATATATATATATATATATATATATATATATATATATATATATGTATATATAATGAAACCTTTCAGGGTTTTTTTAACTAAGAAAAAAAAAGGAAAATGAATTTAATAAATTTTTTTAATTAAAAAAAAAAAAATCTCTTAGCTATACAATTAACATTTATAAGATAAAATAGTTAAAAAAAATAATAAAAAAAAAATTAAATGAATACTTATATAATACACCTATCCAACTTAGGCTCTACCATTTTGCGCGGTGGGGGCTAAACTCTAATTGTGTCGAAAAAACTTCCTAAATATCTGTATTTGAATTAGTATTTATTTGTATTTATCTCATATATGGAATTCAGCACGATCGCAAGAGGTAACTGTGCATTAATAGGGTGTTCGAATAGCCATTAAAAACTTTTGAAGTAGAAAAAACAAGAATGTAAGGTTTATGAAAGTTTGAAAAAAAAAAACAATGTGGTTGTAATCGTCCTTTTAATCTTTACTGTTTTCCAAGTTCTTTAAGAATTTATAGAGAAAGAGAAAAGTGGAAAATTTTATTAAAAAGGGAAGGTAAAAATAAGAAAAAATGAAATTCATGCGACAGTGACCGTGTATGTTCCATGCATTTTGTAGATGGAACACCTACCATTGCTAATCCAGATCCTACTTTAAATATGGGATATAATTCTATTATTATTAAGTCAAAAAAGAGTTTAAATAAACGTTGTCCAAAATCAAACTTTTTAATTTTGAAAGGTATTAGCACAGAATATAATGACACTAATAATACAACTGAAGATTATACCAATGAGTTATGCAGTAATAATAACGATTATGTAATTTATCTACCACCACCAAGCTGTGAACATTCATATGCTAGCCAGTCATTGCTAAAAGTGTGAAGGATGTAATTCTAAAACATCTTTGATTGATTCTCTTCTTAAAAAAGTTAATTTCTTGAATATATTCTTGATCAACTAAACCAAAAACAAGTTAATCAAACTAAGAAATTATTGATTTTTTCATCCAATAAAGTTAAAACAGACAAAAAAATTAACTTTTATACAGGGATATTTACTATAGCTTTATTTAATGCCATCTTCTTACTTATTATACCATTTCTTCAAAAGCTTAGTTACTGGTGAGGACCAAAACATGTTCAGAATACTAGCAAATTAAAGCGCAGATTTCAGTCAACTAAATATAGAAAACTTTCTCATCATAATGAACTTTTTTTAAAACTTATGCAACTTCGTCTTGATATTCTAAATGAAGACATTGCAGATCAATTAGAAATTTCTCCTTCTACTTCTTCTAACATATTTTCCACATGCATTAAAATTATAAGCAATGTGTTAGGTAATGCTCTTATTGTATGGCTTCCACGTGAAACCATAAGGGAAAATTTGCATACGGTTTTTAAGAATGCAGGATATTTTAAGCGTTGTGTGATTATTGATTGTGCTGAAGTTTTTATTGAATGACCCTAGTCTCTCTTAGCACAAGCCTCAACATGGTCTGATTATAAACAACACAATACGTTTATGTTTCTTGTAGGAATTTTGTCTAGTAGTTTTATCACTTTTTCATCTGATTGTTATGGTGGAAAATGTTCAGATAATTTTATAACCAAAGACAGTGGTTTTTATGACTTGTTAGAACGTGACGTTGAAGTCATGACAGATTGTGGATTTTAAATCCAAGAAGAACTTTTGTTAAGATTTTGTACTTTGGTAATTCCTCCAGGTGCTCGTCTTAAAAAGTCAAATGATTGCATCTTAATGTAAAAAAACTAAAAAAATAGCAAACTTAAGAATACACGTTGAACGAGTCCTTAATAGAATGAAAACTTATAGAATTTTAAAGAATGTTTTTCCTCTAACAATGTTGCGTCACGTTGATGATATTGTGAGGGCTTGTGCTGCACTCTGTAACTTAAAACCTGTGTTAGTCAATAATTCAAGAGATAGAAATATAAGACCTTAAAGTTGGTAGATAATAGTATTAAAGGAATGTGTTAGCACAGGAATCTGTACTTATACCTTTCAAAACTAAAAAGTTCAATTTTGTACAAAGTTTATTTAAACTCCTTCATGGCTTTATGTTAGCAATGGTGGTGTTCCATCATCAAAATCCATTGAACATACACAATCACTGTGGCATGGATTCCATTTTTTTTATTTTTACCTTCCCTTTTTAATAAAACTTTTCACTTTTCTCTTTCTCTAGAATTTTATTTAAGAACTTGGAAAACAATAAAGATTGAATGGAAGATTACAATTACATTAATTTTTTTTCAAATCTTCATGAACATTACATTCTTGTAATTGCATATGTTTTGAAAAAAAAGGCTAATAAGTTTGGAATGCGTTTTTTTTCTCCAGCAAGTCTAGGGTCAGGAATTTCTCCCCTTCCTTTACCTTTTCAGAGCAGGCTTAACACTTGTAGTAAAGAATTTTGTTTAGTCGCTAAAATTTTAAACTTTGTTTATTTTTATAAGAAAAACCACTGGTTTAGTTAATAATTCGGAATGTTTATAAGTTAGTAAAGTGGTCATGACCTCCTAGGTGTCCATTTGATAAAACCACTGTTTCATTTGATCCTATAGAATGTATTTAAGTTAGTTTACTTATAATGTATATTGAATGTGTTATAAATAAAATTTTTTTTTAAATATATGTATATATATAAAATTTTTGCAAAAAAATGATAGTTTAATCATTTAATTTTATAAATAAAATTTTGAAGTTTAAAATTTTTAGAGGGGGGAAGGAGGGGTGGGTTTTTTTACCCCTTAGCCCCCCTCCCCCTGATGTATCCGTTACTGTTTTGGAAAACAGTAACGGATACATAAGAGGGAGGGGGGCTAAGGGGTAAAAAAACCCACCCCTCCTTCCCCCCTCTAAAAATTTTAAACTTCAAAATTTTATTTATAAAATTAAATGATTAAATTATCATTTTTTTGCAAAAATTTTATATATATACATATATTTAAAAATTTTTTTTATTTATAACACATTCAATATACATTATAAGTAAACTAACTTAAATACATTCTATAGGATCAAATGAAACAGTGGTTTTATCAAATGGACACCTAGGAGGTCATGACCACTTTACTAACTTATAAACATTCCGAATTATTAACTAAACCAGTGGTTTTTCATAGTTGTTACGTTGTCACTTTTGAAGTTGGGAGGAGGATGGGGGGGCTGAAATGCAATTTAAGGGGAGCTGAAGCAGCCGGAATCAGAATTTGAATGGAAAAAACAAATTTCCAGAAATGTAGCCATATTTATTTTCTTTTTCAAATAAAAAACAAACTGCCATATATTGTCACAGTGGAAATCTTTATGAAGCCTGTACTAAATGCTACTGAGGCAGTCAAAGAACTTTATGGTAAATTTAAAAAAAATTTTAACTAACAAAGTTAAATGCAATAAACAGTTATCTTATTAGATAGTTAGTTGTTATCTGAAGAGGACAGTATTAAACAATTGCCAATGGTTTTCCCAATCATTCTCGCTTTCAGACATTCACAACATATTGATGACACAAGCCATAAACTGTGGTTGATTATAAGTTAAGTAATCACTTTACATAACTTTATAGGCAATTTACATAACAAGTTTAATCCAATTTCTAATTATTCGACAAAGCTTAGTGTTGAATAAAAATAGTGCTCAAATAATATTTATAGTAATAGTCTATAAATTTACACTTGATTTCTTCCCATTTGTTATAGTCAAATTTTATATGTTCATTAAAATTTCCATGAGGTGTCCACACCATAAAATATGAATGATGGTGCCTTGTAACAGCCATTTCCACAAGACATTGCATTTAATAGGCATGATTTTTGTTTAAAAAAGTACCAACATCATTTTTAATCAAATATGGAAGTTTTACACTCGGATCAAGTGGGAACAAGTAATTTATAGAAAATGGGCATTTAACTTCAACACATGCAGATGGACAACACAAACAAGTAACAATACGATCAAGACTACCGCCAATGAAGGGAATATCTCTATTTAAGAATAACCCACAATCATGCATTGCTACACCTTTATGATTGATTTTAAAAATTTCATAAAAATAGTTAACAGCATTCTGTTCCATTTCCCTCCCATACTTAATTGCATGTTTGAATTATTAAATGACAAATTAGCATCAATTTTATTTAATTTGTTCATTTTTGTTCAAACATCATAACTTTTTGAAGCTGTTATAACACCTTTTCTATATTCATACCAGTATTTGTTTTGTTTTTTCCTTTGGTCAACTGCTCAATTTCTTCAATATTTTCATATTAGCGTCATATGAAAAGTTATATTTTTTTTAAATGATAATATATCTTTTGACATTAATAGTATATCATTAACACTCATTAGGTTTGATTGGTAAGTAATAATGTCGTTTACTACTTCCAAACTAAAGTCAATATCTGGTTTAGGGATAGCATTAAAAATGATGGAATTAGGGGCTATTTCTTTTAACGCTTTTGCAACATCCTGAAGATTAAGTTTACTAGAATAATTAGAAATTGGATTAAACTTTTTATACAAGCTGTCTACAAATGGTCTTTTTTTTTACAATGTTGAGAAAAATGTTCTCTGCTAAAATCTAGATTTTTAATTTTAATACTTAAAACATAATCATTTAAGTCATTGCTGTCTAATTCAGATGGGTGAAACATCAAATAATTAAAAATATCTGGATGCAAAACCATTGCCCATTGTTTAATACTGTCCTCTTCAGATAACCAACCATCAATTAAGATAAACGGATAACTGCATTTAACATTGTCAATTAAAAGTTTTTTTTGGTATTCATCTTTAAGTTCTTCAACTGCCTCGGTAGCAGTTAGTACAGACTCAATAAAGTTTTCCATTGCAGAAAATACACGAGGAACCAATTCCCTCTTTGTTCCTGAAACACGCAAGTTTCGAAGTCTTAAATACTGCTTTAACTCATAAACTTTAATTTTGTTAATTAAATCTAAATCTACTATGAGTTTATCTTAGGATAAATAATTTTAACAAAAGGAAAGCTCAATGTTTGCTTAAAAATCCTTTTTTACGTAAAAGTTTATTTTTATTTTACCCGCACAATTTGGATCCAAACCTCAATATTTCTACGCATTTTTGCCGATCGGATAGGTGTATTATAAAATGAGTCGCATAAAAGATTAATCGAGTTAAGGTTTAGAACAAAAAAGAAATAAAAAAAACACAAATTTAATATTTAAAGTGTTCTCTTTTGGCTCGATAGCAAAGAAGAACTCGTCTCTGTATTGATTTGACCAATTTCATGCACATCTCATGTGGCACTTTTAACCATTATTCGTTCAGATGTTGCTTCAAATGCTCAGTTGATTGAACTTGATGGTTTACCAAATTGAGTGTCAATTCATGACCAAATATCTTCTATTGGGTTAATATCTGGTGATCTAGAGCAACAAGGTAACAAATTGATCTTCTTTGTGGTAAACCAGTTTGTTATAATATAAGCTGTGTGTGCTAGAGCCCTTTCTTGCTGGAAAATGTATTGCTTGCTTCTGCCGTACAATTGCCTTGGAGATAGAATTAAAGGTGTTTCAAGTGTGTTTTTGGAGGTATATGGATTGATAAGGCCATTATACAGCTCACAAAAACCAAGACCTTTGTTAGGAAAATATCCCTATATGTCTGCAATATTTCTCAGTTGCAAATCATTGGGTCCCAAAATCTTTAAAAATTTTCTACTAGGAACTATTAAAAGGAAGAAAAATTCATTAAACTTGCAAAGGGCCCCTAAATTTGCAAATGGGGTGTAATGTAATTCTAAATTATGATTACGATTAGCAATGAAGGACCGGCAAAGAAACCTAGAATTTTTGTTTTGAATTACGCTGACAACTTTTAGTATTAACATCCCACCCCCACCAACAAAAAATCCTAGACTTCTGTATTGTGAGCTTTAAAGTAAAAAATTCAAATGAGACTTTTCTGTTTATACGCAATTAACAGTGGTTTTATAGATTTATTTTTTAAATGCTCTTCTGACAGCAAGTGATGTTTTTTCTGTTTGTAAAAGGCGTTTAGCTCCATTGTTTTTAGAAGCAGTGGAAGTAGGACAAGCATAAATAAGAGTAAAAATGTATTTATGCCGAGAATCTTTCTGAATCTCTCAAAAAGATAGACATCATAAAAGAATATTTAAGGCTCAAAGCCATCTAAGTTAAGGAGTTTCTAATAGAGCTCTTTAACTTTTGTGGTAGGGTACCGGGAAAAAAAGGCAAGGTTAAATTAATTTATATTATGGATGAATCTATAACAATAAATAAAATTTAAGATTTAATAATACGTTCAAGAAGTTCCAAAACGGTATTCGATAGTTTCAAATATGTGTACTTAAAGGCTAGTTAGAATTGGTTTATAATTTGTAAAAAAAAACATTTAAGATTTTATAAGACGTCTTTTATACGTTCTTGAAAATTTTGTAGACATTATGTGTATAATGGGCGCATTTAATGGTTTTAGTTTATCATCAAAAGTCTTGTAAGGCATTTGGTAAATGTTCTTTTGCAAGAAATTCAAAGTTTGGAGAAAGTCCATGATAAAGACCCATGTATTCATTGAGTTTTTAAATAAGACTGGTCTCGCTGAGAAAATCTATCGCAGGTTTCTTTATAATTTGATTAATAATTTAATGTTTGCTTTTTTACGAAGTTTTGTTACACTAGCCTTTTTTTAAAAATAAGTTTTAACTAGTTCTTGATATTATTTGTTTACTTAAAATGTTCTTCATTTTTTTTAAATGTTTTTCATTTTTTTAAATGTTTTTCATTCTTTTAAATGTTTTTCATTCTTTTAAATGTTTTTCATTTTTTTAAATGTTTTTCATTTTTTTAAATGTTATTCATTTTTTAAAATGCTTTTCATTTTTTTAAATGTGTTTTGTTACATTGACTTTTATGCATAGACTTTTACATAAGTTGTTACCTCGTCATTTTGTTTGAAATTGTGACAAAATTGTCATTAAGTGTTGAATAGTTATATAAAAATAATAGTTAAAAACTAGATATTAAGAAAATTTATTTTTATTTTCAAAATTATTTTAACAATACTGCAGTAATATTGAAGTCCTGCATTACTTCAATATTACTGCATTTTAGTACAATGTTAAAGTAAGATTTTATTAATATTGCTTTATTATTGAAGTACTAACTTGCATCATTGAAGTACTAATTTGCATTACTGGAGTACTAATTTTAATAATATTTCAGTAATATTGCAGTATTGTATATTTCTTTAAATTTAATGAAGTTAAATTCAATTTTTTTGATAAATTTCGCAAGCAAAGTCAGAAAATCGACCGGATGCTAAAAATATTACTTTATATAAAAATATTATCCAATTACAAATTTTGTTTCTTACTATTACTATATAAAATCATTTTCTTTTAACTATTTTGATGGTTTTATCTTAAATAAAACCATCAAAAACTTTATTTAAACGTTTATCTATTTGATTTTCTATATTTATATTATATCTACGGTTTTAACTTTTAAATCCTTATAATTAATCACAATAGCAAACAACAACAACAACAACAACAACAACAACAACAACAACAACAACAACAACAAAAACAATAACAATCAATGAGCAATCCAATGTGACGGTTGCTTCCGTTTGATTTACTTAGAGAGCTATTTAGCTAATAAACATATTTATATCCTGTTTTTTATGACTCTTCTGATTAATTTTGCCCTGACTGTATATCAAACAAAATATGTTTTTATATAAGGCATTGTCTATGATCTGAAGCTCGAGCTAATTCGTTCCTGCAAAAAACCTCCTCATAAAACTTTATAAACTTTATTACCTCAAATTTATTAACAACCAGAAAGTTAACAACTAAATCCAAATACCTTAATAAACGAACCAAATTCTGCAATTTCTTATAAAGAAATTCATCTAAATCACTGCAGTTTATGTCAACAATCTCCCCGTCTTACTAATGCTCTTCCAAGGTGAATCACCTCGGAAAAATCAAGAATTACCAAGTCTTATTTATACGTAGAAAATTCAAATGTAATTGCCATTACCTCACACAAACAATATTAAAAAAAGTCTGACAGAATAAAATGATGCGCTCTTTTATATACAATTTAGGAGATTTTTGAAGGTATAAATCCGCCAAGTAGAATCATGTCTTTGACTGTAGATAGAGACATTTGCGTGATTATTAAATTCTTGAAAGTTAGTTAAAAAAATTTGTTTCTTTATGATGCGTTTTTTGTCACTTACTTACAACTGAAAGTTTTTAAATTAAATAAATGTTACTACTTACTATATGTAACTTAGAGTGTTATTACAATACGATAAATGAAATAAATAATCATTCAATAAAATTATTTCTTTATGCAGAAAAAAAATTACTTGATACAATTTGATTTATGTTAGCAACAATTATTATAAACAAACCAATAAAATGAATTGCCAATGTTTATCTGTTATACGTACATACAAAAACAAAGAAAAAATTTTCTAAGCAAATGCAAATTTTTAATCCTAAATTTTTTAACTAGTTGCTGAATTAATATTATCTGTTATTAACTTCAAGAACGCCGGTGTTGATTTTGAAGCGCGAACAAATTCATCTACAGTGATGGTGCCGTCATTGTTTTTGTCACAACGGGAAAACATTTCTTTTATTTGCTTATCACTCATTTTTTTTTCATTTGGATTTAAAGATTGCATGCTTCGAACGATGCTCCCTATTTCATCAAGCGAGAGTTTACCATCATTATTTATATCATAGACTGTAAAAACCCATCGTAGTTTTTCCTCAACTGTTCCATGAGTCGAAATAGATAAAAGGCAAACAAGTTCTTTAAAATCTAAATTATAAATGCAAAACAAATGTAGAACATAAAATTAAATTTACATTTTTGGTCACTATATAAAGTGTATAATATAAGTATAGTTTTATATAAAGATATAATTTGAAGATATAATTATAAAATATTCAGAGACAAGTAGAAAACCGCTGAATCTTGTCATTGAGAACGTAATATTAAAAAAATTTTTTCTGACAGGCGGTACCGCTCCCCAGGAAAAATAATCTTTTGAATAATACGGTCTACAGAAGTTATAATAGAATTTCTATAGAAACTCTAACAACTTCTATAAAAATTGCTACAGCTTATTCTCTCTGTCTCTCTGTCTCTCTCTCTTTCTCTCTCTCTCTCTCTCTCTCTCTCTCTCTCTCTATATATATATATATATATATATATATATATATATATATATATATATATATATATATATATATATATATATATATATATATATACATATATATATATATATATATATATATATATATATATATATATATATACATATATATATATATATATATATATATATATATATATATATATATATATATATATATATATATATATATATATATATATATATATATATATACATATATATATATATATATATATATACATATATATATATATGTATATATATATATATATATATATATATATATATATATATATATATATATATATATATATATATATATATATATATATATATATATATATATATATATATATAGGGGAAGTGGGGGCATAACCGCCCCCGTAACCTTTGAATAAATGTTATATGAAAATAAAAACGAAATGTGTTTTTTTAGCAGTTTATTTCAATAGCCGCATCATTAAGCTTTAAATCGATGCATTTAAGAAAAAAATTGAAAATGTTATTACACAAAAATTACACTTAGTGAAAAAAACGGTTTTGCCCCCATTATGAGGCACAACCGCACCCTCACAAAAATCGTTGGGGGTTCACTGTTCTAGGTACATTTTCTTTACAATTGTCATAGCTCAGATTATTTGCTGATTTTGTTGCACGTTTGTATACTGTGTAGGCATTCTTTGTACTTACCATCTCAGTTTTCTTATTCGATATACTCTTAGCTTTATTTTAATTCAAAAACTTATTTATAAAAATTAAATAAAAAAATACGAAATCTAATTTCTAACATTTCAAAACAAAACTTTTCTAACATCTTTTCTAACAAAAAACAGAACCTTTCTAATAAAAAACAAACTTTTCTAACAAAGTTTTTTTAACAAAACTTTTCTAACTACTTTTTTTCAAAACAAAACTTTTCTTACATCTTTTCTAACAAAAAACAAAACTTTTTTAACAAAACTTTTCTTTCAAAACTTTTCGGACAAAACTTTTCTAACAAAAAAACTTTTCTAACATCTTTTTCTCAAAACAAAACTTTTCTAACATCTTTTTCTCAAAACAAAACTTTTCTAACATCTTAAACAACTTTTCTATCATCTCAAAGCAAAACTATTCAAATTTATACATGAACGCATTCAAATGTGACGATTGTAATTGTTGTTATTTGTAATTACATAACTTTCATAAATAATAAAAGTATGCGGTTCTGCCTCCTGTGCGTCTATGCGGTTCTGCCCCAGTGGACAGTTTTTAGAAAGAATTCAGTTTCATAGCTTGCTTATTAGGTAATGTTGATATCAAAAATGGTTTTTACTTGAAGAAATAACGCTGATAAAACATATCTTTAACACTAAAATCAAATATTTCTTTATCCTCAAAAAAAAGGTCTTTAAAAATATGATGTAAATATAATATTTTTATCAAAATATACATTATTATGCACAACTTCTCAGAAACATAGCAGGCACTCTTTTTGACATAATGAAGAAAACTGTTTTACTAATGTGTGGTAGTTTTTTTGCCAGATTAGATAATATTTTTCAAAGAGAAATGTTAAAAAACGGTTGTGCCTCCATATGCGGTTATGCCCCCACTTCCCCTATATATATATATATATATATACATATATATATATATATATATATATATATATATATATATATATATATATATATATATATATATATATATATATATATATATATATATATATATATATATATATATATATATATATATATATATATATATATATATATATATTTTTGTTTTTATTTTTAAAGGCCATATATTTCAAATGTTTATAAAATATTTAAAGAGCATTTTTCCTAGCAGGACATTAAATAAAAATTGCAAGATAGATAAAAACATACATAGACTTAATTTATAATTTTAAAACATAATTATTTTTTAGAGTACTAACATAATAACAAAGCGAGTAAAAGGCTCTTTTTTTAAATGTATTTAAAAATATATCAAAAAAACTTCTTTCTTATAATTTTTTTTTGAAAGTACTAAGACTCCTTGTATGAAAAATCAAAATGCTTCAAAAATTTTTTATTCCATAAAAACGCTGCGTTTATTTGACTGAAAAATAGGTTGTCAGATAAGAATACTTTATGTAACGCAATTTTTGCTTTTGGATTTAAGAAGTTATATTTTGATTACTTATTTAGGACTATGTAAAAAAGACGATATTAGGCACAAACTTTGATTTTATGACTACAGCAAAGAAATTTATTTTTATTGAAACAGAACAACACAAATTTCATAGTTTCGTTCATTTGGTCTAGTAAAAAAAAAAAAGATTGCATGTTGCATAGTCAAATACCGTAAAATATCACTCAAAATGTTTCAGAATAAATTTAATAGATTTGCTTGAGTACTATAAATCAATTTCACGAAGCAGCCCCAAACGTAGTCCCTATTATAATTTTATTTTAATAGGGTCATTATCATTCATTATCTGTCATTATCAACGACGTCTAAAGCTATAGATTAATATAAAGATATATTAATCTTAATAAAAGCGCTTGCCTTTGAGACAATAATTTATTTATTGAGAAAATAATTTATACTTTGAGTGAAATTTTGCATCTCATTTAAGGAATGCTCTTTATAAAAATTTGAACCAATCCAACAATTTTCGGTTTTGTAATTAACCAAGAAGATATGAACAACTGCATCAAATTTGTTTTGGGCCAAAATCTCTCCCTCCTGTTCAGAAACTTTGCAAATTTGTTACATTCTATGGTCTTCTTGGTCTGTATTCCAACAATGATACCGGCTTTAACCTTAGCATTAAACAGCTTCATTAAAATAACATAAAGGTATATAAAAAATCTAAACTTATTGTCAGGAGAAGCTACAAATTGTTCCATGGGGCCTAACGTGATAGTAAGTGGTTGCATTGGCACTTTTTAAAGTTCTTTCAGCGGCAATAACTCACATTGCATTTTTCCATTAAAATTTTGCTCCAAGACCCATTTGGAATGACTTTATTTTGAAGTTTTCAATGACCTTCTATCTGTAGTTGTCATTATTCATAGTACTCAGCAACATCTCGAGACTGGTGTATTTTTCTTTGAGATGCACAGAATGAGCTATTAGAATAGACATTAAGAAAACATGGCTAACTCATAACCTTAAAAAACTGTAATTTGTATCTCCATCATCTTTCTGGCTATCGGTATTGCTGCTTTTTCATAAAAATAAAGGATTCCTCTAAGGAAAAGTAGAAACAGCTTGAAGCTAGTACAGGGTTAATGGAAAAAAATATGTAAAAGCAATTTAAGACGCACTCGCGCCTGATCACGCTCGCAACTTGACGCAGAGAATGGTGGCATTTTTCGATGGATGTTGCATGGGTGAGAAGTTTTGTAGAACCAACAAAGTAAAAGTTGTAGCTTTTTAAGTGGTCCGTCGGTTGTCACCAAATTTGTGAAACAGCATACTTTGTTGCTCTCTTTCCGTCCTAATTTATAACAAAGCACAAACAACAGGAAATTTTATGCATCACTTAATTCAAGGTGTTATAATAGCATACTACATATTTTCTAAATTCTATATATATATATATATATATATATATATATATACATATATATATATATATATATATATATATATATATATATATATATATATATATATATATATATATATATATATATATATATATATATATATATATATATATATATATATATATATATATATATATATATATATATATATATATATATATATATATATAGAAACTTTGTCAATTGCAACTAAAATGTACGTACATAGGACGTTCTAGAATGATCTAAAATTTATTTGAACGTTTGAAAGATTTTCTAAAGATTATAGAATATTTTAAAAGTTTTCGGACCTCGAGTCATTTCTTCTAATTCAAGGGTATTTTAGAAGAATATTCAATATACAAAAACAAAAAACAAAGAATTTTAAATATAACAATTTTATAAATATAAAGTCTATTCATATTACGTAAAAACAGAACTCCATTAGAAAAACTTTATATATTCTAATGGTATGCACTGCTTGCAAAAAATCTAATAAAAATTATCAATTAATTGGATGGTGTAAAGGCCAAGTGGACTAACTCTTCAATTTTCGGTTTTTATTATTATTGTGTTTCTGCATTATTAAAACTTTTTCTGTACAAATGGAAACCCATAAACAACAAATTATTGTTAAAAATTATAATTTTTTTATTATTACTATATATAATCTCCTAAACAATTTTGAACACTGAGGTTAGTCCACTTAGCCTTAACACCATCCAATTATAATCCTTCTTCTTTTTTTTAAAAAATACTTGTACATTTATTTTATTATTTATTTCTTTTTGTGTAACAATTTTTTATTTTAATTATTTTATTGTAAAACGATTTACTGAAACGTGTAAAAAAAAAAAAAAAAGAATGAAAATAACAAACAAATACTACTTTAAACACACTTATACCTGCCCGATTGTAGTTGATGGGAGTTCGACACTATAAACATTGCCATTTTTTTACCACAGCATATGAGTAATCTATATCTTAGCATTAAGCTAATTTTGAATTTTTTTCGTGATAATTTTTCATAAAATAATTTCATCCTGATAAAC